ACACAGCCCCACACTGGGTTCTATGAAGAAAATTAACTCTATCCCAGCTGAAACCAGGACACATGTGGTTCATTCTGGGATGGCTCCAGTGCCTCCTTTTGTGTAGTTTGTCCTCATCTGCTACAAGGCACTATACCTATTTTTAGATGCATGTCAGTAGAGAGAAAGGCTCTTTGCTCTGTCGCCAGCAATCTCAAGCTCCCAGCCTTCCCCAGCTTGGGACCCTCTGCCATATGTTCAAGCATAGCTCCTAGCTGACCCTTCTTCTGTACAACGTGGGATTTGGACTCCCCTCTCTGCAGGGTTTCTGCAAAGAGCCTGTTGCTGTCCTGTTCATTTTCACTGACACTGTGCAGTATGCTCATCTCATCCTGTAGCTTCTTCACCGGCCAGCTCGGCACCTTGAGCAGAGCACACCTTCCGCTGGTGAGGCCACCACCAGCCTCAGGGAGAGGTCCCAGACACTCCTATAGCCCAAGACCCTGAAAGCTGCATCCTTCCTCTAAAGCGCATGGGATATTCCGGCTGGTGCTGGGGACCTTGCCCTGTGGCATATCACCATCATCCTTGCATGGTCCTCAGCACAGTTTCTGGGTCCCCTTCTGCTCTGCCTTTTTGTGAGCAGAGAACTGAACAGTCCTGGAGATTTGGGTGATTCTGTCTGTCTTGGTCTAAGTACCCTTTCTGATGATGCCCAAAATTTTGTTGGCTTTTTTTTGCCCCTTCCTGCATGTGGAACCCATGATTTCAGAGAACATGTGACAAAGTCTCTAGGAACTTTCCTGAGTTACTGTTTCTGAGTTCAGTGTTGTGTGTGCATGGTTTTAGGTGTTTTTCCGTAGATTCGTTGTCTGTGCTGAAGCTCATGCCATGTCCTTTTGTCCAGTTTTCTTGACCCCTTTTGAAGTTCACCACCACCAGGGTGGTATTTGGCTGCTTAGAACAGCACAGTATCATCTGCAGACCTGGAGATTTCACTGTTCACTACCTTTTCCAGGTCACAGGTGGACATGCTGAATAACACCAGTCCTGCACCAATTGCTCAGGAACCCCACCAGTGAATCTTTTGTGTCCTGAGCAGCAGCTGTCCAGACCTGCCCTTTGTTTCCTCTCCTTTAACCAGCTTTCAGTGCATTAAGATGGCCTTTCCTCCCATCCAGTGGCTATGGCTTCTCTAATAGCCTTTAGGTTCAGACCTTGTCAAGGGCCATTTGGAAATCTAGAAGTTATGCCTACCAGACTCCTTCCTTTGTGTGTTCATTGTTTTTCTCAGTGCTTCAGCAGGCCAGTGAGGCAGGATTTGCTTTTACCAAAGCCAGACTAACTCATTCCCAACAAACCCTGCTTATCCACATGCTCACAGATCTTACTCTTTCTTTGTTGACTCTATTGTTTTACCAGGAATAGAAGTTAGGTTTCTTGGTTAGTAACTCTGTAGTTCTCAAGATCCCCTCCAGAGCAATTCTTGACGACTGGAGTTGTACTGACACTGTCAGTCCTGGTACAGTGGCCATTTGTAATGGTAGATGATGCACTTCTGACAATGGCTCTGCAGTTTAACATTTGAGTTCCTTCAGAGTTCTTATGAGAAAGCTGTTTTCTGGTTACAGTCACAGGCAAAATAATGGAAAAGCTGACAAAGGATTGTTACAGATGAAAATGATAATATGAGACTATAAGAACATACCGAATGACACCTTAAAGCAAATCTTACTTCATTCTTTGTCACTATTCACAGATATGTTACGTCTTGGAGAACTTTGGTTGCAGAGAGAGAAGTCAAAACAGGCCTCAGAGGATGTTGGAGGATAGCCTAGGCACACAACCAGTGTCTCTCCAAGGACAAATGGAATTTCCTTCTCTAGTTTTAACATTAGTGATTCTTTGTAGGTCATTCCCCGTGGACTGGCATCTCGCAGCGGTCTCCGTGTAGGGGACAGGATCCTGGAGGTAAATAGCATTGACCTGCGCCACGCTACCCACCAGGAAGCAGTGAATGCCCTGCTCTCCAACACTCAGGAGCTGACTATGTTAGTAAGGCGAGATCCGCCACCACCTGGTATGCAGGTAGGTTCTGAGTAAGAGAACTGGGGGAAATTGCACCTTTCTTTATAGAAGGATCACTTTTGAAGGCAATTTCTTATCTAGCTGGAAATCTGGGACTAGGGTACAACCAAACTTCTAGTTGAAATTTCCTTCTCTTTTGGTAGAATCCAGTCTCTTCTAAGTATATATCCAGTTGAGGACTGTGGAGGGTCTCTTGCCATGCCCATGGTGATAACTGTGATCAGAGAATGATCAGATTTCATGAAGACCAGACCTGAACAGGAGACAAATACAGAAAAGGGCAGAGCCTCATCAGAAGGAATAAACTGTGCCAAATGAGTGAAAGGTCTAATTCAGGTCCTTTTCAGGGTATTTAGAATATGGCCAGCTACTAGGAGTGTTTCCCTAACAATTCCAGTCTGAACTTGACCCAGAAACAAGGATACCTTTTCTGTGTTTACAGGAAATATGCATTGAAAAGGCTCCAGGAGAAAAGCTGGGCATCAGCATCCGGGGTGGAGCAAAAGGTCATGCTGGAAATCCATTCGATCCCACTGATGAAGGCATCTTCATTTCTAAGGTACCAGACCACTAACTCTGCAACTTGGTTGCATGCAAGGACTGCTAGGGAAAAGAGTGATCCCTGTGGAACTTGTTCGATATACTCTCTCCACTTTTCACTGGGTACATCAATTCTCCGGGAGTATTCTCCACCCACTGAAGGAGGCGCATCTGTTTCATGTTTCCTCCTCTAGAACAGCTACAAAATTTCTTCTTTCATTTTCTATGTTTGCTTTTATTTTGCTTTGCATTTCTTCTCTTGCCTTTTTTTCTGTGACATAAACCCATACATCTTTCCTTTTCCCCTCCGCTCCTATTGCTTCGCCAAGTGCTTGTGGCCTTCCTGCCCACCCAAACATGCATGCTCTTTCCTCCTTTGATTGAAAGCATTATGAATTGCTTACCTTTCCTCCTGTGCCACGCACCGTGTCTGTAATTTTGTTCCCTTTCCTTTGTAAATGACTGCTTGTGTGCATATTTATTTGTCATGTCGCTTTTCCCCAAGAAGTAACACATGTTTTCTTTTCAACAATATACTGTGTATAAGCTTATGCTCCTCCTGACCCTTGCCAAAAAGTATTGCCGCCTCTTTCTTGTTAGCAACAGAGCATAGTGTTAAGTGGTGTAGTTTTTGGTCTTGCTGCTGACCAAAGGGGAATTCTGGATGTCACTGGTTGCCTCTTTAGCTGGTATGGTAGGGTAGAAACTCGGCTCTAGCTGTAGAGGTCTTAATCCTTGCTGGATGGTGGCTACTTTCAAAGAAAGGGAATAGTCAACATTTGTTACTACTTGGATATAACTTCTTTATCTGAGTTCTAAAGTTAAAAGAGTAAATTCACTCTATCAAAGTAATAGTTGCACATTCAACTGCAATATTTGTAATAGCTGTAAAACAAAACCTAAGATTATTGTAACCTACAATTATTTTTAATGATTAAGTTTGGTTTTGGTTTTATCTCCTTCAGTGTTACAGCATTTAGGTGTTTGGAAGGCTTACATTTTAGTCCCATTGCACGGTTAGTTTACCCCCCCCCCCTTTTTTTTTTTTTTTAAATAGTATTTGTTTTGGCCTGTGGAGAACCAAAGTACTGAACTTGTCTGCTCTCCCTTCAACTGTGTTACTTCAGCTTGATATCTCTTCTCGGTCCTAACCAGAGTGTTCTTCCTGCTTCTCTTATTTTGTCTGTGTATTTCCAGTAACTGAGAGACAAAGCAGTGCTTTTTCTTATTCCTCCGCTTTGGACGTCTGATTACTACCTTCTTTCTCTAAGTTTTTCTTAATTTGCATTTCCATTGAGTCCCTTAATTGTCATTTTTTAAAAACTTGTAATCTGATTCTTCCTTTTTAAAACCTTCTTGATGAAGTGTTACAAGTTGAATACTATGAGAAGTATAAATTATATCTACAATTTGAAATTCATGATCTGTCTCAATGGGGATAATTCAGTGTCCCTCAGTGACATATCAATAATACAGATGACAGTTGGCATTAAGGACATTTTTCTACATTAACTTCACCTCCTCCCATTATTTCTGGGTGTTCTACTGTCACACTTATGCACTTGCTCTCCCTGGAAAAGAAATTGTGAGTATTCGGTCTTTATCCATTCAGCTGCATGTGACCACTTTTGTGCATGCACACGCACTCACACATACTTAAATGTTTTCCTTTACAGCCCTGAAGAAATTATGTGTAGGCATGCATGGCTGCTTTCCCTCCCTCCAAACCTTTTTTTTTTTTTTTAAAAAAAAAAAAAGCATGCAGCATTTTTTCTCCTCTTTTTACAGGTACTTTATTAAACATATATCCGTCATTTTTTCTCCAGAACAGCTCTCATAAATCAAATAAACACCCATACAGTTGGTTTGTTTGGGGTTTTTTTCACTCTCTGATCCCAGTAATATGTGGTGTGCAGTAGTTTTTTCTTTCTTTCTTTCTTTCCTTCCTCTGATGTTATTTGTGCCTCCATCCTACCTTGACAACCAGTCATGCATGTCCTTGCATTTCCCCCACCCAGCAACCAACTTTGTGTGCCCTTGTGCTCTCCTTTATGTTCGCCATACATCTACAGGCTTTGCTTGAGATCCCTGACATTGACGTATTCTTTCTGCGAAGCCCTTGTGTAGCACTGGTCACAATTCTCTTTGTAAAGTGTAGTCATGTTGGTTCTTTTGCTTTGAGACTGGGCCTTTGAATTGAAGCTGTTCGTTTGTCTCTGGTGTTCCCAGTGAGGTCTGTCTGTATACCAAAAGTACCAAGGTCTTAATTTGATCTAGGTTGACTGTGTGTACATCCCATTTTGTTCCAGGCCTTTTGGTTTCTTAGAAAAAAGCAATGCCCATTTGGTGATTCTGTTCCTTTCCCTAAGGCACTTTAAGTTGTATCCTTTATTTCTGTCTGGTTCCTGATAGTAGCTTCTCCTATTGCCATTGTTAAATTTTTTTCTCACTTCCCCAGCTTGCATATTTCTCCTGAGCCTCATGTTTGCATGTGTTTGGGTTTTTGTGGGGTTATTTTTTGTTTTTTTCTTTTCTTTCACTTTGTACCCACAGCATGTCCCGCAGTCTCTCTTCCCTGTTCTGAAGGGGAAAAAGAGGAATAAAACTCTTTGCTTTTACTGCCTTTGTTCTCGTGGCAAAGTATGCACATTCATTCTCTCCTCAAACATACATGAGTGCTTGCACTGTTTAAGACAAACTCTGGCTTTCATGTGTCTTATCAATATGCTGCATGCAGTTGTTTCCCCTGGTGACAGCTTGTGTACATGAGGCAAGTATGAGTTCTTGTGACATGCTGAGGAAAGAAAATAGGAGTTACACATTATTTCTCTGAAAGAGAGGATGGAAAATGACAGACATGCGTAACTTGTTACGCCTGTTTACCACAAAGACAGTGAAAAGTCTTTATGCCTCATTTATCTTTATCTACAAAAATTATCCTTATGCTTGCATTTTCTGTCTCTCTCCCCCAACAAAAACCTATTACACTTCCCTTTCTGTGAAGATAAATCATAGATGCGAGAGCTTTCTTTCTCACCTGCTTCATGACAAAACAAAAGCAGTTTCTTTCCTTGGGACAACACATTTCAAATACAGATTCTTTTTATCTCCGATAAGAGGTTTTTTTTCACACCTGTTTCCTCTACCAAACTGTACATGTTCTTCCTTTTCTACCCTCTCCGTAAGTATATATGAGTACTTCCAGATGCTTTCCCTGACATGTAGCCACAGCCTTTTTTCCCTTTTTCCTTTGTATGCTGTCCTCTCTCATTCCTTCTTCCTGATACTCCCCATGCTCTATAGTCTTCTCTTACCTCCTTACATGATATCTTGATTCACCCCATTTGTTATAGGTGAGCTCCTCTGGGGCTGCAGCCCGGGATGGCCGTCTGAAGGTGGGAATGCGGATCCTGGAGGTGAATCATCAGAGTTTGCTGGGAATGACACATACAGAAGCAGTGCAGATACTCCGAAGTGTGGGTGACGCGCTCCTTGTGCTAGTGTGTGATGGCTTTGATCCCAAGGCTGCAGCTGCTATTGAGGTGAGAACTGAAGTGCAGGGTGCCCTTGTACTGGCCAGTACCACAAGAGGATCCCACTTCTTTCTTCTTAGAAGATTGCTGGATTTTTCCAACCTTTTGCTGTAGTTGTTTTTTTTGTTGTGGGGTTTGGGGTTTTTTGTTGGTTTTGTTTTTGAAGTCCCAGATTTCAAAGTCTGGTCTCCTGCTATATGAACTGCAGGTGGTTGGCAGTTTATAAAAGCAATAGTCTCTAAAGACTGTCTCTCTCCTGCTGATTGCAGAACTGTTTCACAATATCACTGCACTGGTTAGAAATGTCGTTTTCAAGCTAATTTTCTCCAGGCTACTTACGCCTATTTTTTCTTGTGCCAATGTTATATTTAAAGTAAATTGCCTGTCTGTTTATTGGTGTTTGCCTTTCCCCACAGGGTAACACCTACCCATAGCGATCCTGTGCTTTCTAGGTTTTCTTTTTTCAAGGCTTACTAAGTAAGCTTTTTTTATTCTCCACTAGAATATGTACCTAATCCCTGGTCACTTTATCCCCTTTCTGTACCTGTTTCAATTTAAATTCATCTTTCTTATACCTGAAGTTCCTTGAGTAATTGACAGCTGAAATAATGTTTCAAGTTGTGAAAGAGTTCTGACTTAATTAGGATGGTCTTGGTACTCTGCATCTGTGAGCCCAGGATATGGAATTTTTTTGTATGGCATGCTGAGCGCTTCCACCATGTTTTTTGCCTTTTTGCTTTGTAGATGTCCCCAGGAATTATTGCAAACCCTTTTGCTGCTGGTATCGGACGCAAGAATAGCCTGGAAAGTATCTCTTCCATTGATCGGGATTTAAGCCCTGAAGAACTGGAGATCCTACAGAAGGTGGGTATTCTGGCTACAACTGGGAGAATGTTAGGCAGTGGAAAAAATTTATGAAAAACTCTAGTGTCTCCCTTGGTGCATGGAGTCTGCAACATAATGGGTAGTGTACTTCCTTTTTATGGGATGAGCAGGTCCCAGCACTTTCATCAGGAACACACTAGGACGGGACTCTGAAACATTCATGAGGTTACAGGTGCTCCGAGTGAGGAGAGAGCACTGGGTGAAGCGGCTCTAACTTTGGTCTCTCCTAGGAGATGGAAATGGTGAGAGAAGCAACTCAGTGGGAGAGAGAAGAAATGGAGAAGGTGGTGAGAGATTTTTCACGTAGCAGAATCTGTTCTGACAGTGGTTCTGCCAAGCCTGTGAGCCCTAAGGAAAATGCCACAGATTATCTCTATCCTATTGTTAATGCCATGGGGGGCTTTGGGCCTTCTCTCTTCATAGTGCACCGCTCAGTTATTCTAGCTGCTTTTTGGCTTTGCCATATCTTCCAATGTACCTCTTTGGCGGTACTCTTCTGTTATTTGCAAAGTTCATCTTTGTTACTTGCTGGTACATTCTGGCCAAGCTGCAACTTTGAGAAAAATGGCATATGAGCTTGGAAGTCCCACAGTTCTCTCGGTACAGCACTCCATGCCCTGACAGAGCTTTTATGAGCAAAGATGAGAATGCACAGCTCAAAATTGCCCCGAATTGAAGAAGTGGCACTGTTAATCAATCACGAGTTTGTGCTCTTCAGTTTACATTATCATTTTTCTTATTCATTATGAGAATTTTGTATTTCTGCCCACTATTTCAGCCTTTCACAGAAATAGATTAGCAGAGTCAAGCCCCTCGGGGACTTGGGTTTTCTAGTTATCCCACTTAAAACTAATTTATTCAGTCAGATTCTTTTGGAAGATGAGAGAAAATTGAATTTTTCAGTATTGTCACTTAGGAATCTGCTCTCCTGGCAGAGCAGTATGTGTACGTTTTGCAGGTGTTTCTTCAGGCTTCCAGTTTAGATATACCTAATATTTCTCTAGGTTCTTTCTGTAGTTGTAATCACTCAGGTTTTTTTACATTTGCTACCCCACAAGGTTGTAGTTATATTGGCAATTCTGGATGGAGGTGAGCTTTATAATTTAGCTAACACTTGAGATTTTACTTGTTTTGGAAAAAAACAGTCAAGGTTTTGAATAGACAATGGCACAGACTACAGTCCATGAACAGGAAAATGAACAAGAAAATGGCCGTATGACCTTCCAGGCGTGCAATATATATAATCATTAAATACACACATATATTTCATATTTGTATAATCCTACTCTGCCTTCTGTCAGTGACTGCAATGGGCTACGCAGGGTACAATTTTACAAAAGACTGGGGTAGAGAGACAAAAGGGGTTCAGTGTGTTGCAGACTCCCTTTGGAAGCTTTGATTTACCTTTGCTGGCCTACAGCTTAGATCGGTGTCAGCATGTGCAAGAATAAGACAAGGGATTTCTGTCCTAAGTATCTGCAAGGTGTTCTGGTGGTGTTTGAGATCTATACTTAGATGGGAATTCTGCCAGTGGAATGACCTTCTAGAATAATCTTCAACCTGATTAGTTGAAGATGTCCCTGCTCATTGCAGGGGGGTTGGACTAGATGACCTTTAAAGGTCCCTTCCAACCCAAACTATTCTGTGATTCTATGAATAATTTAGGTAGGAAGGGACCTCTACAGGTCACTTGGTTCAGCTCAGAGCAGAGCCAATTTAGATCAGATTTAGGTCTTTCCTATAAAATATCTTGTTCCTTGCTTAGGAAGGAACTGAGGGTGGTTTGTTGTGGTTTCAGAAAAACTGATTTTGTAGTGTTACTGTTACAGCAAAAGGTATTCCTATCAGTTTTATGTTGGTAGCATGTGGATTTGAATATTCTCTAGGAGACTTCAGGTACTATGAGTCATTATCAGCATTTCTAACACCTCTGGATAAACCAAGAAGAGCAATTCTGGCTCCAAAACCATGCTACTCTGTCTGAGCAGGTTGCATTAGCTCAGTCTTAGGTAGATAAGGCTTTTCCAAAATTTATGCTGAGATTACTTTAAAACACTCCAGAGACTTTGTCAAAAAAACAGAAAAACCTTTATGATTGGTGATGCAGCCTTGGCCATATCTCATTTCAAAAAGTGCTGATGGTATTATGATAGCTTTTTATGGAAAATTTGAACTTGAAATTTTATTAAAATGGTTAATATAAAAGAAAAAAAACTTGGCAATAGCTAGTCATTCAGCTATCAGTAATATTTCAAAACAACAGTGGGCATCTCATAACAAATATCATTATTCTTCCTGGAGGCTGAACAATACACAGTAATCATGGCTCATCTTTCTTGGATGTTTTATTTTTGATAGATTTTTAAAGCAATATTTTGAGGTTGCAGTGACGTGTATTTAGGGACTTCTAAGGTATGTATTCCTGTATACTGCCTTTTTTCTTGCTATAGTGTGGCTTAGTATAATTACAATGTTGTCTGTCCCAACCTCTGAAGAGCTGAGAAGTAGGCCTGTAGCCTGGTGATCAGCAGAGACCAAGAGTCTCCTCCAGAATTGCCTGTGCCTTTAAAGGATTTCATATTTTTTGGTGCCCCTTCCATTAGGGTACTAGGAGGAGGTAGCAATGAATGCTCCAGACTTGTCTGACGTCTTGGGATCCATGGCCTGAGACCCATGCGCAAAGACACATTTTTCTGCTGTTGCCTTTTAGTGTGACCTTGAAACTGGGATTCTGTCTCTAATACTGGTTTTGATGATTAAATTTGTACCAGTGATGGAGCCAGCACTGTATGGTAGCCATTGTAATGCCGTAGGAAGTTCCCACCTCAGTGCCAGATGCTCAGTAATACTATTCATGTCACCATTTTTGGACCATCCTCTAATACTTCAGTGTTTCATGTTTGGTTTTGCACAAGAGTGACAGAGATCAAATGTGCCTCCTTACAGTAAGCTTGTGAATGGAAGAAATGGGAAGAATTTTGGCTTTGCTATGCTCACAGTTAGTCCTGCAGAGGTTTTCAGATACCACTGTTGCCCTCACTCCATACATCTCTCAAGTTCAGTACTTTGATAATTCAGTTTCTAATAGCAGTATTAGTAACTCCAAATCACCATGGACTGATTCACAGTGCATTTCTCTATCCCAACTCTAGAGCTGTACTTATTTTTCTAATCTTAATCCAGAGCTTCTCCAGGCTCCCCAGATGTTGTCAGAGATGAACTTTGAACATTCTGTAGCTCTGTCTGGGCTGGCTGGTGCTCTTGTCTCTTTTCAACTTAAGACCTCAGAGGAGGATCACATACAAGTTTAATATCAGCTTGAACACTCACCTTACAGATAACACTTGTCCAAAATAAGCATAACCAGATTCAGAACAGACTTTAGCTTAAATATCCGTAAATAGCCCTTTGGGTCTTGTGATCCTCCGGAGCATTAGTTTTTTCTCATGATGCTCATTATTGTTTGGAGATCCAAGGGTGTGATGTGGGACACTGATTATGTACTAGTGGTAATGCACAGAAGCTTTTGAAGAGAAGGGCCTAGGTGCTTAGCAGAATTTTCAGTTAACTCCCTCTGTATTTCTCGGATGCCTTTCACCTCCCATCCTTCTAGCCTTGGGACTTCTGGACCATCTGGTTGCTACTGTTTGGGAGGAGCAGCCAGGAGGGTTGCAATGCACAATAGAATGCAAGAACGATGCTGCTTTTGTCCACAGCCCTCACTCTGCAGCATAGGTGCTGGGCAAAAAGTTACAAAAGTATAAATGCACAGAAATAATTCTTTAAGACAAGTAACATATTACTACCTTCCTCTTGCAGCTTGGAAGCAAGCCCATAGCTGGGGCTTATGAGATTAGTCACTGGTCACTCTTACAATATTCCTGTGCTGCGCTGAATGACTGAGAGCTGACCAGCTGATTTTAAGCTCTGCCTTATGCTTATACAATTTCTGTATCTATATATAGTCTTTTGGCTGTGATGCTATAAACAAGCACGTGATTTTTTTAGGTCTTTTTCCTTAGTGACAACTAGGCCTGTGCTCTGTAGATTTGTTTTTTCATTCCCTTCCAGCCTCTCCAGTCTGTGCTCTGTCAAGATGTCTCTTCTCACAATAAGCAATCTTCTCCTTTCCCTTGGTGATGGCGTACCTTGTGCTTGGGGCGGGGGGGGGCTTTAGCTCATTTCACTTTTCCCCAGGATTGACCCTGCTGAGAATCTTAGAGATGTCTGCTCTCTTCCCCTCCTTTGGTGACATCCTGGCCTGTGTTGTACGGGGTGTCCATTCCTGTCTGTTTTGCTGGTGATAACTGAACTCATGCAGAATTCCAGCTCCTCTGTCCCTGGGCCCAACCTATGCGCTGGGTTTCTGCTTGCCCTCTCCTGCCACCAGTGCTGTTCCTGCTCCTTTGTCCCCACTTTGGAGTTGCTGCACAGCATGGTGCTGACGTCTTTCCCTCTCTCTTTGCCTGTGCTGCTTGGATGCTGCTCTGACTCTGTCCTGTCTCATGGAAGGAGTGGATGCGTAGGGAGCGGGAGGCAGCCACACAGCAACTTGAGGAGGAGGCAGAGGTGAGGAGCATGGTGGGAGGGTTGGAGAGTGGCAGAAAAGGGCTGAGCTGGACTTGAAGGCTGGTGATACCTCTAAAAGTGCTCATTCCCTGTAACTTCTGTTCTCCACTCCCCCACCCCCAAAGACTTGACTTTTGAGTGTAAGAAGATACCAGAAGTGAAGAAATCTGTAATGTGATTGAGGAAGGAATGGTTAAAAACAACGGCTTGAATTAGAAAGGCAGACATGCAAATGGGAAGCAAAATCAAATGAAATTATATAATGAGTGTGAGTTAAGGTTGAGAAAAGATACTGTACAGGAATTGTAGATTTGCACTCTCAAATGTCTCCAAATCCAGACTGGAAGCCTTTCTGGATGCTATTTGGAGAAAACTGATACGTATGTCACATTCTCCTCTCCCCCTATAAGGGAGTGGACATGTGCCCATGGGGGCAGGAAGAATGGTGGGGATCTGTGCACCAGTGGGTGACCAAGGGCCCAGAGTGACCTGTTCTCTGCAGTATTTCTCAAGCCTGGCCTCTGTCATGGGTGCCCGTCGTTGTGTTTGGAACAATTCCAGGTTCATTTCCAGGCAATGGGAATTTTCTGCAGAGTTTGGAGATAAGGCCTTGGTTATTACTAGGGGTGGTTTCCTTTTAATTGCTCTTTCTAGTTGATTTAGTTGACTTCTGGCCTGATCTCTTCCTGGTGTTTGTGTTTTTCTTGCTCCCCCCCTTGCCCCTCTCCAGAATATCACCAGTGAACCTTTGAGACTGGACTATCGGACCCTGGCTGCTTTGCCCAGCAGTGGCTTACAGAGAGTCAATCGCACTGTAAGTGAGGGGCTGTTGAGATGTGGGTCCTTGCGTGGGGGAAGCCGTGGTTGTTCTGTTACCTGCCCTCTCCTTGTGCCCTGATGAGACGGATGACAGTGCTCTCTGCAGGGGAAAACTGGGAAGCAGAACTGTGGTAGACTTTGACACTGTCTGAAACAGGAGGCAGCTACAAAAGAAAGATTAGAATAAGAAAATGAGGAGAGCAGAGAGCCAGGTCACTTTCCATTTTGGAAAGGGAAGTGGCCTGTGTAATTGCCAAGATGCAAAGGGAAGTGTCTTGAACAAGGCAGAAAGAACAGCCCAAGAGGAGAGAGGGATACATGTGAATGGGAGAGTGCAGGGGATTTATCATGGAAGGAAGCCCCTACTGAAAGCTGCAGAAGAGGGAGGGGAAGATTCTTCCTGACAATGTGTGCATAGCTTAGGTGTAAATTTATTGTGGGATGTTGTTTAGGAGGAGGGATGCAGTGTGCTGATACCAAAAGTATTAAAAGAAAGTCAAGATCCATCTAGGACTGCAAAAGGCAAAGTGGCAGTGATTGCATATCATGACTTAGCCCTGATATGGCCTTGGATACTCCTGTCCATGACCTGCATTTCAGTCCCTGATATGTAGTGGTGGCTCAGCCAAGAGAAAATCCAGATTTCAGAAACTTCACAGATTACAAAGTCATCCGTCTCTCCTGTGTTGTTTAAAATCTTGCCTCACCTCTCCATCTTTTGCTTCCTTTGGTCATGTTTTATCTTCCCTGCATCGTACCTATTTCACTGGGTTTCTGCCTGCTCCTTCACAAACATCCTCAGTCTTCACGTCCATTTCTTTCCTCCTATTGCAGCAAGACCACCCATTGCTGTCATCATCAGATTCTGCATTCCCATTCTGTTGTTTCAGGATCATCTCTTTTACCATTACTGCCTCCATCTCATTCTATCCAGACAGGTCTCCTCTCCTATTCATCTATCCTCTCATTGGCTTCAGGCCCTCTTGCTCTTCTGCTTTCACCCTGATTAGAGCCCAGCTTTGTCTCATTTTGTTCCTTCCCATACTCCCCAGCTTTTGGGTTTTCTCTCCTGGCTATTCACACAGAAAAGTATTATCGGGAAAAGGTTTAATGTATTTTTAGCATCTCTTAGTGTAACTTAGTAGCTGGAAACAAGGAGAGAGCCAGCCCCACGCAAGCAGCTGGCTCTTTGCTGGACAGCCCTAGTGTTGTTCAGAGCAGAGCAGCATTTGGGAACTTGTGCCTGAGCAGTCCATGTCAGCCCAGGAACGCCTGGCACTGGAATGTGGGGCTGAACATGCTGGAATGCCGGGCTGTATGGGCGGCATCTATAAATGTCCTGTTTCAGGGGAAGGGCCAATTGGTGCCCATGTTTATCTTTTTCCAGCTGTCATTTGCCCAGCCCTGTCTTTGCTCTGTTTGAATAAATATGTCTGCCTAGATCATGAGTACAGGGAGATATGGGCTTTGAGGACAGCAAGGTTCTGGCGTTCTTTCAGGAGCCTATTTGGTGACTGCCTGGAAGACTCAGACACAGGTCAGTCTGGCCAGCAGTAAAGCACGCGGTTCAATTGACAGGTTGTCTATCTCCAGACAGTCTGACTGAATTAAGAGGACTAATGCTATTTCCCAGTTCCCATAGTATTTTTCCTTCTCTTCCTGTCTCTAGGCCAACTTTCTCACCACGTACATTCTCCTCTAAACAGTGTCTACATATCTTTTGTTGTATAGCTCCCTGCAAGGGGGTTGCAGGGCCTTGCTGTTCTTCACACTGTCGAACAGGAGGAGGTGCAGACCTCTGTCGTGACTGCTGTAGATTGTGGGTGGAATTTGTCATGAGGATTCCCCAAGAATTGCCCCTAAAGAAGGGGGCAGATGGTTGTGTATCTTGGATTAATCAGTATTGCTGTATATTGGTCCTTTTGTGAGCAAGATTTAACAAAGGCTTAATGAGATGCAAGCCTGTTTTGTTTGTATACTTTTAAAACCCGAACTGAAAAATTCCAGTTGAAACCTGCATGAGAATGCTCGTCTCAGTGATGCCCTCCGGCTGTGCCAGCTTGTCAGTAACTTGATGTCTGCAGACTACCCAGTGCACTACAGTGTCTGAATACTGCCATCACAGTAATAAAAGAGCTATTACAGTCTCTGTCTCCTGCATAGTACAGGCTTGGAAACCATACCCATGAATGACTGCATCTAGCCACAACAAAACATTTAAAGTCTAGTTTTGCTTTCTGGACTATAAGAAATGGAGAAGATTTTACATCTCTCAGTAGCATGTCACCATGGTTAGTTAATTAACAATCTGCACTTTCTAGTCTGAATTTATTTATCTTCAATTTCTAGCCATTGATTCTTTCTCTGTACTTGTTCATTAGACTTAAAATTAGATTTCTTTCCATGTCTGGGGCGAAGTCATGGATCAGAACTGCAAATGCATTTCTTCTGTATTTGCCTTGGAGGATGCAGGGTAAAACACGATTGTCCTGTCTGCTAGACTGGGGAGTGACAGAGGCAAGGCTGGGAAAAGCACACAGCATTGCCAAAATCTTTGCTTACCCAAAATAGAAATTGTTGCTTGTCTGATAAAAATAGCCCGCTGTGAAGTAAAGGGAGGGAGGCATCCTGCACTGGAATACACTGCTGCAGCAGAAGCGCTGGAGATTAAAACGAGGGGTAGATGAAGCTCAGTTCCAGTCATGTCCATGAACGAAATAGGGATTGTGGCTCCCCATGGACTATCAGACTTCACGCAGTCTTGGTGAGATGCCCATTGTCACAGTGCCATAGAAGTGTTTACTTTTTCCCTTCATGCAAAGCAAAGTAGGCCTTGGTGGTGGGATTCACCTGGAACCCTGGTTGGTCAGTGTTTGTGCTCTTCTGCTCGGCAAGGCAAAGCGGCAGTGGTGTCGGACGGGCCTGGCTGTAGAACCAACAAACCCACTTGGCGGTGGTGGATTGCTGGCAGTGTTTTCGTTACAGCATCCCCAATGAACAGATAAAGTTCCTGACAGTACTTTTTGCCTGGCATAACTTTGTGTGCACTAGAGCTCTTCTAGTGTAGTTTATGGCACTCTGGGAAAAGAAGGTTGGAATTTGGGGTTTTTTTGGTAGGGTTTTTTTACGTTGGAAAGTCACATAGCTACAATAGCAAAATTTTTAAGCGTAGCACAGGCTTCACTGTCTGAAGAAATATGATATGAGCCAGGGCTCTGCCAGCCACTGCTTTGGGTTGGGTTGGGGTTGAGGGGCTAGGGGAGGGCCTCAGAAATTCCTGAGCCTCTCAGCTGCCATTGTAGTCACCAGCCCACCCAGCCCTTGAGAGCTATTTTTGTGAATGCTGCCATGACACAGGAGTTGGAGAATGTGCTCTGAGCAGAAGAGGTCTTTCTGCTCCCCGGCAGGCACTTGGATAGAAGGAGATTTGATCATTGCTCTCTGATTATCTTTGCTTCCCTGAAGAAGGCTTTGGCTGGCGTAACAAACTCTCTTTTATAGTATTAAAAGAGGAAAGGTCAGTGCTTCATCTTGGATAGGTACAGTTGAGCCTAGGCAGAACTGAAGCTCTGTTTCAGTCCTGCCTTCAGTAAGAGCACTCAAAAGGATCTGTGGTCTGTTAGCTCTTTGTTACTTGTTGGTGTGTATTTTGATGAAGTGGGGCCATAAAAGTGTGTTTGGCCATGTAGGTGTGATGGAGATGCATGGGGTAGATGATATGGTGATAACTGTGTATCTGTATGGAAATGCATTGGAGTGAGGTGAGAGGTGTTATTCTGCATGAAAGCGTTGGAATTGCTTGAAAGTATGCTGGGGTCAGACAGTTGATGTTTGGCTATGTGATGGTAGAGTTGAATTGAGGATGTGCTGCAATGAGATGGGAGACGATGTGTGCTTGTGTAGGTTTTGGCAATCAGTTTTGCTAGAGAGCAGCAGTGTTACTGGTGAGCTGCTGAAGTGCAGACTGGATGTGTATGAGAGCTGGAAAAGTGCGGGGAGTGTACCTGTGCCTGTCAACTATTTGGTGTATGTATTGTGTGCTGATAGCAAGGTTCTCTCTTGGAAGTAGCATTCGGGATTACAAGTTTGGTGGTAGAGTAGAAGAGAGGGAGGGGATAGTCGTGTGGGCATTAGTATTGGAATTCTCTCCCCTGTCCTTCAGAATCCACAGCTGCTCTGTATTTTCTCCATCCTCTCCTTTACTCTGTTCTCCTTATTTCTTTCTGATCCTTTTGTTTTCCTCTCAGCTTGTTCTGTATAATAAGGCCAGCTCCAGAATGGAGGGTGACTGCGCTATGCTGTCTCTGCCAGTGGTGCAGGACAGCCGGGATTCATACACAGAAACAGCTGCAGGCCCGATCATCGGAAGCGCAGCTGGCCTTCCTCAGGACCATGCATCACCTGACAAGTGCACGAGCGGGGCAGAAAAGCCCCAGCTAGACAAGCAGGACCCCACGGGTTGCCCCTTGTCCCAGGACCAGATGCCAAAGACGCCAGAGCAAGAGTGTATGATCGACTCTCAGCCGATCCTCTTCAGTGAGAACCCCTTTGTGGTGGCTAACCGCAGGGGGAAAGCAGCAGGCAAGGCTTGCCTGGGGGGCCCGCCCCTGGGCTATGGCAGGGAGGGAGTGCTGAAGACCAACCTTTACTCCAAGGCAAGCAGTCCCACCGCATGCTGTGTGTGGCATGCAGTCATGCAGTTAAGGCCACTTGCACTCTACTAAACCCCTGCGCATGCCCTGGACCCCAGATGCCAGGCAGCACGAGGCCTGGCGGGGGCTCGTCCCACCTAACACATGTGCTTCTCCAGTGTTGCGTGCGGAGGCTGTCAGTCGCTGACGGTCAGTGAGTTGTCTTCCAGCCACTAATGTACCCCAGTTATTGCCAAGTGTGCATGCTGCTGAGCCCCTCTTCGAGGGGAGGCAGTGATGTCAGGCGACTTCCCCAGTGTCTCTCTGGGTGGGTAGGGATCAGGCTAGGAGCAGCAGTGTTCCCTGTCTGCTGTGGTTCTGAGTGGGGAGTTGACAGGGCTTGCAGAAGAATGGCAGTGGTGTCACACTTATGTATCTGGGCCTGAACGAACGCAACTGTTTTTAGACCTCTGAAAACTAAGAGGCAGTGCAGCTGACAGTTAATCTACAGCCCAGGAGCGTGCTGTTCCTTGAAGTGACACGTTACAGTATATCTAGACTTTCAGATTTCAAGGGAGAACTTTGCTTTCTGCTCTGGGAAATCCGTATTTAACTTTCTCACTGCTGCACGGGAAGCCTGTGGCAGAGCAAGGACTAGACCCAAACGTACTATGTTCTAGATTAGCACCACACCACTCTCCCCTTCTTCCTTTCTCTGCCTTTTGGGAAGCCTGAAAAGCAAGAGAAGCAAAACAACCACAAACAAACAGCCCACGCGCAGAGAAGAAAAAGCAAACAAACAAAGCAACACTCAGCTGTAGTTCTCTTAGGTGTTTTTTAGCCTAGTCCTTGGTAAGAATTTGTTTTTCACAGACGTGCAGGCAGATAAGCAATAGAGCAAGGCATGTAGTTGAATATCTGTAACCTCTTGGTATATTGAAAGTCAAAGGCTGTGGTTTGGACATTATAGACATCCAGCTTGAGAGTTCAAAAAAGATCAAAAAAGCAGTGGTCACAGAGCACTGACCCTTTTTGAAGGTAGACTTTATGCCAGATCAGCTATCATCAGTCTGGAGGTGGGTGTCACAGTTAGCTGGAGCTAATCTAATTCTACGTTGCTGTCAGAAGGGATCAGTTCCCCCTGTCTGCATGTTCTCGTCCTGTGCGCTGACACCAGAACTGGAGCAGTCGTGTGTCAGCTGGGTTAGGGAGCTGAAGTCCCTGAAAAACAGTATTGTAGAACAGCTCCTGCCCTGGGGATTGGTAAGGTGCATGTGCTGGCACACAGGAAGACTTGGATAGCAGTAGCCAGAAGCAGGGTGAGCAAGAACACTCTGTAGTGGAGGCATGGAAGTAGATGGGTTGCTGCTGCCGCATTGTCTGTCATTATAGTGCTAAGAAGGGTTAGATGTTTTCTGTGCTCCAATATGAACTTCAGATCCCATCTCCTGGCTTGGTCAGTAGAAATACCATTGCCCAAGGCTTTTTAAATCGTGCTCCTTAATCCTGTGGACAGACTGCAGGTAATTATTGGGACTGCACTCTGTTGTTGTAGCTGTTGGGGCTGGCTGTAGGCTGGCTCATCCTGAGCGCTGGTGATCGTGTATTCCTGTGGAAGGGGTGAGAGCCCTGTCATTCCTATGGTCTGGACTACTCATAAAGGTCTTACTAGTAGGCCAACATCAATGGATGTAGCTGGCTGGTAATGAATCTTGTCCCCTTTCAGTTGGCAGTGGCTTCTTTTTTGCTCAGTGTCTATACAACAGGAGGTTTGCCTAGACTGTAGCCCAGTCTGTTGAGGGCTAAAGAGAAGTTAGGGGGAGAGGATTCCTGGGGATGTCTTACAAGGCAGAAGGCTTGTAAGTTGGCCTTGCAGGGTGTTTGGATATGATCTCAGTTCCAATGTTTAATGTCATTCCCTTGCTGTTTCTAGTGCTTTTTGCAAGTTTCTACCATGTGGCAGCTGCTGTTGGGCCCAATGCTAACTCTGCTCTCTCACAGTGAGGTGGCCCATAGTTGGCCCTGGGCTGAATGTCAGTGGTCTCCTTTGCCTCCTGGTCTCACTGCTAAGGGAGAGGCATGGAAGTTGCTGCTGTACAGTAACTATCTAGCTTTGTCTTCTCTCTTTCAGGCTCCTGCAGGCGAGTCTGGGACAGGAAATTCCAGGCATGAAGCCCCCTATTCTCCTAGTAATCAGCAGGTGAGACTGCTCCCAGGACAGGCAATATGGGGAAGGGTAGGGAGGCATGCTTCCAGGGCAAGGTGGCACCAGGGCAGAAGGGCAGAGGAAGCCGTGTATGATTTCCATCCTTGAGAGTGATACTTTTGAGGTGGAGGGGTATCCATCACAGGAGGCAGTTAGAGAACTAGGGAAGGAACTCTTCTCTTTCAAAGTATCTCAGAGACCCAGGAGTATAATTAGCTAGTCATAAACTAAGTGGAAAATAATTGCTCTGAGGGGTGACTTAATTTGCAGTGTAATGATCAGGGGAGTACCTAGAGTGACTACAAAATGGTAGTTGTCTTTTTTGAGAATGGCCTCACCAATGCCTTATACAGAGACTATTTAATTCTGGCAATTGGTACGTCAGAAGAAGTGGAGAAGTCAGGATTTGGAGAATCATCTCAGGTCTGTAAACCAGTGCTACTCAGTCTCCTAGACAGATCCTGAGTTCTGTTTGTGACACTGCTGGCAACCCACATCAGCTGTTTGAAGAAAATTGAAGGATCCTGCAGCAGACAATTATAGGTTAGCCTACCCTTAGGCAATGATTTTCTAAAACTCTAAGGTTAGAGGCCAGCTTTCACTCTGAAATGGAGTTTCTTTATTTCTTGTAACTTTTTTTTTTTTTTTTTTTGGTAAGCATTACCTATTCTCACTAGCAGTTCTTATTTCTCATATCAACTCTGATCTTTTCTTTTAAATCTTGCCAAGTCTTTGATTTCACTTTTCATCCTGTGGTAGTAGGTTTCACAAGTTAGTTGAGCCTTTTGAAGTTAAATTCTCTTAAATGGATTTTTTAATTTTTTTCTTCACAGTCATTACATGTTATTGTTTTTTATATTAAGGGGCTGGAATGAACTGAAAATTGTACTTTGTACTCTATCCTTAGTCATTTCGTGTCTGTTGCATTCCTTCTGGAGTGCAACTGCTCTCCAACTATTTGGTCCCACTAGCTCTGGCACTTACCTAATCTTTAGCTGAGTCATTTCAGTTCGCTAAGCTGGACAAAAACTGTCTGCTTTTTTGCTAGGTTAGTTCACCTTAGTGAGATGAATTGCATCATCTTGGGCTGAGGTGACAACACTGATGCAGGAGAAGGGTGAGGACCATGTGGCTGGGAGCAGCAAATAGGACAGTGGAGCTGTAGTAAGCAACAGTTCAGGCTTCCTTGGCCTATCTTGCATCTCCCTTATGTCTTGGATCCTTTGAAATGGAGTGACCACCAGGGGGACAATAAGATTTAGAAGAAGATACTATTCGTTACAGTAATACTATTTCAATGCTTTCTGTTCCAGCTGCATATGTTTACTTACTTGCTTTTCTGACAGCAATTGCATACTGATTGGAGGTTTATTTTGGGCTGTTTGTAAGTTTTCCTTTTACCACAAGTGCAAATTTTATTTTAAATTTGATTCTTTTTGTCTAGAAGGAATGGGATGGGGCTAATACTCCTCATTCTACAATAGAAAGAGATCTAGATATTAATTTGCTCTGTCTTTAAAGATCCTCAGCTCTCAGTTGAAAAAGAAGCCCACATCCCGAAGGGTGGCCATGTAGCTGCTCATAGAATGATTTAGGATGGAGGGTCTGGTTTAAGACGACACTCACAGCAGGTCCAATTAGATCAGGTTACTCAAGACCATGTCCAGTTAAATTTTGAACACATCTAGAGATGGAAAGTCTACATCTTTCTAGATGCTGGCTCCAATACTTGGCTACTCTCTTTGTGCTGGGTTTTTTTGTTTGTTTTTTTGTTTGTTTGGTTTTGGTTTTGTTTTTTAAACTTTTATTTGAATGGAATGTCCCTTGTTCCAATTTGTCATAGGCAACTTTCATAGTACCCCTGATGGTTTTATCAGTGTTTTGGCATTGGAGGCTCAGTGCCAACGTCCTTGCCACTACCAACCCTCTGGCTATAATGTCATCTGCTCTTCTATACAGAGTCTAATGGTTTGTCATTAACCAATTCCCGTGGCTCTGACAGGGGAAGCTTTCCAGGTGAAACTGTTCACTCTCTCCTCCGTGGGCTCCGAGAAGAATAAACAAGGTCTCACTAATGCATTCTATGGAGTTAAGAGCACCCTAGCAGCATTTTTTGCAGATGCAGGCATTTGCCTTTCCAGTTATAAGTTGGATGTCTTAAAATTCCCTGTTATGTAGCACTTGCTGTAATTTGTATTCTATTCTATTGCTTCGGGGTTTTGTATCATGAATTCTCTGTAGCTTGAGCAACATATTGAATATACAGCTTTTTTCTTGTTTTTCTCTTTTATCTCTCTGTTCAGAGGTGTGTATGCCATGAGAGATTCTATTAATTTCTTAAAGCATCTATAGCCAATTTCATGATTTTGTTCTTTATTTTAGCCTTTCAAGGTCTTCAGCAGGTTTGCTCACTGCTTTCATTTCTGAGGGCTAGTCTGTGTGTCATTTTTGGTAGCCTTCTTTCCTTACTTGGTCTATGGCTGTTACGAATTAGTGACTCTGGCAGTTGTTCTTGAAGATGCCTTGGTGTCACAATGCTGAGCCATTAGTCTTGCTAGTGGCATTCTCAACCCTGCATATTCTGTACATGAGCTTTCTGTCACATTTACATGATTTAATACTTTTTGGATCAGAGCCTTCTGCAGCAGTCTCCTGCATGTCAGGTAAGGCTGTATCTGGTAGATTTAGTTCCCTCTGGACAATGAAGGTTATATAGAATGGAACAGGTCCAACAGATAATACTGAAGGACACAGGGCAATCACTAGCCTTGTGGCTTGTACATTTTCTGGGGATTCAGGAGACTTGATCTTCAGGTTGGTGCTCTGGAGTAGAAATTCCAAGGAATTGCATCTCTAATTCTCTGCCACCATCAATTTTTAATGTAAATTCTTTTGTTTTGACATCTTGTAGTCCAGCCAGAATTTATTGGCTTATTTCAGAGCTCTCACAGAATTACTAAGGGAAGTTGAATCCGTTGTCCTGAGGCTGGCATCATGATGGTCTTGCCTGGCCTTGAGTTCTGCAAGCTTCTGGTGGGGTAGGAAGCAGGTGGGGGGATGAAGGAGGTGTTTGTGGTGGGTTGGTGAGTGCGTGGCAAGGAGGGCAGAGGGGCTTTCTCTGTGACAGGCAGCAAGGAGCTGCATGGGGGCATCGACAGCTCTGGGTAACTGCAGTCTCTGTGCTGGGAAACGTGCTTGTCTCAGCCTCTCACACAGAAAACCCGGTCTCTTCGTTTTCTCTCCCGTTCTCTCCCCCGATGATCCTCCCTGGCATTGCCCCTCTCCAGACGCCTGCAGCCCCTCGGCCTGCTCACCTGTCAGGCAGGGAGACCCGCTTTGTAAGTGCCTGTTGGTGTGCAGTGTGTGCTGCTGCTCTGTGCTGCTCTCACCCGGCACCGCTGCTCTTCGCCCCTTCCTCCAGCTCTGTGTTCCCCGGCTCTTGGGCTTGGTGCGCACCGAGGGCTTGCTGCAGAGAGCAGCGCCCAGGGCGGCAGGCCAAGGCACCAGAGGCTGTTCCCTGCTAGCCACTGCTGAGATGCATCTGTGAACGCTTCCTGGCAGAGAAGCTGTGATGGCTTTGCTCAAGCTCAGTAGCAAGTGCAAGGGGCAGGGCTGTAAACAAGGGCCAGGGCCAGCTGAGCTGGAGCAGAGACAGGGAGGGTGGGGGTCAGTGCCCGGAGATGTGCAGAGAGAGTTGTGAGTGCCCCCTCACATAGCAGAGGAACTGGGAGAAGCTCTTGTGGGTGGGCTCTGGACTGCTCCCCACGTGAAGAAGAAGGTATGGCGGGGGTTAGTTCGGAATGTGGGGGCTTTTCCCTGTACAGTGTGGGCAGCGGGGCAGGGGAGGGGTTGGGGTTGGGATTTTATTATTTCTTTTTGAATGGAGCAGGGTAAACTAAAGGCTTCCTGTGTGGACTCCAAATTTACACCTGTGTTTCTGTTTTCAGGCTTCCATTAACTTCATTACATCACAGGATGAGAGTAAATCAGTAAGTACATCTGCCACGAGACCTCATTGTAGTGTCCCTGTGCATTCTCCAGCACATAGAGCTTGCCTCTTCCTTCTGTGTGTGCTCACTTCCATCCCTGCAAGTCTCACGGTTAGCTCTTACTCTGTCTTCTCCAGTCCTCCACTATACCTTAATTTTGTACAAATGCACTCAGTCTTAAATATTGTCAAATTGAAAACTTGATGCAAGTGGTTTGGGAGCTTTTATTCCTGTTTACCCATGCAGCTTTCACTCATGTGCTTTTTGCTGGCTTACTCGATTCCTGCTTCTACTCTCTTTAGTATTAGATGTTTTACACAGCCTCCAACAGTAATGACATCTAGGTCAAATCTCAGACTCTTGTCTCTGCTCTTATGTCTGTATTTCTAATTGAAGCCCTATCTGGGTCTCAGTTCATTTTAATCCCCAGCTTTTGCCAGTACCCATTCCTGGCTCATGTTTCCGTCCTGCATCTTCCATTCATGATGCTTACATTCTCCAAGCTTTGACGCACTCATGCCATACCCGTCTGACCCTTGCAGCTACTACTTGTATGGCAGATTCTCCCTTGTGTCCTGGCCTTCTCTGTAACCCATTGGTCCCGTCGTGACCCTGACTTGTCTGAATCTCTTTGCCTGTCCAAAATACTTGCACCAGAGGCATTGTTTGGTGTTTGCTTCAGTAGCTCTCCCTCCTGGTCTGGTAGCTGGAGTCAGCAGCACAGCTGAGGAATTGCACTAAGGTGCATGGATTTGTCTTATTCACTTGCATGGCAGAGACTTCTTGCTGCCCTAACTGCTCATTTCTCTTCTCTTCTCTCTCTCTCTCTCCCCACCTCTCTCCCCCCGCCTCTCTCTCTCTCCCCTGCCCCTTCCTCTGCCTTTCCCCCTGTTGTGTGGTATTGACACAAGCAGACCAAGCCAGGCGTCATTCAGCCTCTTTCCCGAGTGCGACAAAATGCTGCCTCGCATAATTCGGAGGACGGGGACAGCCCCAATCCCTTCCAGCAACCTGAGCTATGCTTCAATATCCAGAACTCTGTAAGTGGCCTGAAGTTCCTTTGTGCTAAGCTATGTCTATCTGCCCTAGATTGCTATAGTGCCACTTTTTCTGGTGGGTAGGCTGAACACACCCTCCCAGTGGTGATTTTGTAGTTTAAAGATCACATGCCTTAGCTAAGGCTGGCCTTGTTTATGCATCAGTCTGGATGCCCTGGGTAAGAACCCATACTCTTCACAAGTAGTGTGACGGTCAACACATCCCATTCATTTTTCCAACCTAGATGAGCCTCACCAGCCTGCCTTGTGTCTTCGCTTACCCATTCAAGAAGTTAGCATTGTTGAAACTGTATTGTGGCTGAAATCCCCAGAGAAGTTACAGTTTTAGATCCTTATTTATGAGGTGTTGCATTCTGTTGAGGCATAAATCTTTCAGAACCTTTGTCTATCAATGTCTTGTATCTTGGAGCAAGAGCCAATACCATCTTGCTGATAATAAGTTTTATGATTTGCAAAATGATTGTTTTTGAAAGATTCATATTTCCTGGGCTGTATGTTGATGGGAAAGAAAGATTCAGGTATTTTGGTCTTTGTCGTAATGCAAGACTTGTATACCTGCAATATAGCCCTTCTCTTTATTGACGTTTGTATGACATGATACCAAATTAGAGACCTGATTTGCAGACAAACAGCTATATAAAATCCATGTAATTGGCCAAAATTCACATATTTTACAGTCTCTTCTGATCTTGATGTGCTGTTCTTTAGCCTATGCAGAAGGGAACATCATCAAACAACATAATTTATCCTCAGTCCAGGACAAAGAAAAATGACAAACACCTGAAACTGAGTTAGTGCAGCTAGAGGGATTGAAGGAACGAAGCAGCTAAAGGGGATTTGCTTTCTAGTACGAAGGAAGGTGGTGGTGTCATTTCTACCCTGCTCCCATTCATTTCTGTGATGCTTTGAGCAGGTCATCCCAACTCTCCTTCCTCCTTGAATGTGATAGGAGGGGTCACAGGGAAGATAGGCGAGGAAAAGACCAGCAAAGACAAGTGACAAGCAGTAGGAGGGTCCTCTTGGACCTTATCAGATGTTTCTGAGTAAGTGGCATTCTGTGAAGGGAAAATTTGAGATCAAAGGCAGGTCTTCTCCAGATTATAGATCCCTGAGTGGGTTGCCACTTTGGATTAGGAGACTGTGACCGTTAGCCTTGAAGTATGTAGAAGAACACACTGGTCACTTTAAAAACAGAAGTACAATAGCCACTGGAAAAAACAAATGAGACTAATAGATCCCTTCCCATGAAGAAGGCCCCTTTAGTCAGAAATGCCTGATAAGGCCAGGGCTTATCTTTAATTTTCTAATAAACTAAATGTGGCTTGTTCAGCCCTAAGTAGGGGCCAGAGTCAACTGTATAGCTGTCCTATTCCAGCCCCAAAAGCCCACTGATAGTAGGCATGTGCTAGTTGAACTGGGTGGAAATCCTCAAGGAGTGTGACAGCAGTATGGCCCCTTGGCCAAGAGATCAGTCACAAAATTCTGGTCAAGTCAGTGAGAATCTGTATCACCAGAAGTATAATTCCTCCACCATCCAAGAAATAAAATGGGGCCGTGATATGTGTGCTGCTGTATATAGCATGTGTACAATATGCTGCTCGTGTTTCTGCCCAAGGCTGCAGGAGCTGTCCCTTACATATTCCACTCCTCAGGCTTTGCAGGCTGAGAGTTGTGCTGTGTTTCCCCTGTGTTTAGTTTTTTATAACATCTGTGGTTATCTTTACCTTCTGTTTTTGACCCTGTAGCAAAAGCCACCTTCACCACCTTCTCCTGACGAGATCCCCATCAATGTCAAGCAAGCATACAAGACCTTTGCAGCAGTGCCCTTGTCACACCCTCTGCTTGAGACACAGGTAACTAGTGCTGGCTGGGAGGGATGCTACAGAAACAGTGGTACAAACAGAAGATTGAGCACTGTAGGTGAGCAAGGGAAGTGTGAGAACAGGAAGGAGGTAGTGATTTGTTTCCTCCAAAGAAAGCTGTTGTGAAGGAGGGACATGTTGAGGTCGCCTTTGAAGTTGGAGTCTATTCATGTTGCGGACAGTCACCCTGCAGAGTCCTGTCCATAAACGTACCAAATCCTGAAAGCTTATTGAATTTCATGTCACTGTTATTCTCCCTGGACATTAGGATGCTCTTGTATAACTGTGCTGTTCTGATATAAAGACACTCTTTGAACTTCCAGAGTCTAGGGCCAGGCTAAACCTGTTCTGAGGAACTTTTTATTAGATTTTGATCTTGAACTTAATTGGAACTACTCCTTCTCCCCTCCATGTATTTGAATCATGGAACCATTCAGGCTAGATGAGGCCTCTGGAGGCCGTCTGCCTTGGTCCTCCATGCAACACAGGGCAACCTTTGAAGTTATATGAGGTTGTTCAGGCCCAGTCCACTTGAGTTCTGAATTTCCAAAAATGGAGATTTTGAGGTCACTCTGGGCAGTCTCTTCCAGTGTATGACCATCTCTGCTGTGAAGAGGTTTTTTTCTATATGTTTTATGAGAATTTCTTTTAGTGCAACTTATGTCTGTTGCCTCTCATCCTTTTGCTGTGCACCTCTGAGAAGCCTGACCTTGTGCTCTGTAACCTCCATCTAGGAAGTTGAGTACAGGAATTAGATCCCACTTTCCTGAGCCTTCTCTTTTCCAGGCTGAACAAGCACAGCCTTCTGAGACTCTTTTCAAATGTCATGTCCTGCAGCCCCCTAAATCATTCTGATGGTCTTCAACTTGACATGCTGCAGTTTGTTAGTGGCATTCTTGTACTGGGGAGCCCCAAACTGGGCACACCGCTCTTGTAAGTGCTGAATAGAGAGGAAGGATTGCTTCCCCGGACCTGCTGGCTGCACTCCAGCAGCCCAGTATGTGGCCAGCCCTTACCCTCCAAAGGCATTGTCCTGACCTATGTTCAGCGTGCTGTTGAGGCATCACCCATGCTGTCTTCCCTGCCTGTCCTTTCTGAAGAGCTTATATCCATGCATGGCAGTGCTCCAGTTACATGAGATCTCGTGGAGCTGTCTGTTTATAGACAATCATACTGTCACTTCATTTACTAAACTAAAGAAACAAGACACTGTCCCCTTGGACACCTCATGTTTGGAAGGACCCACTGTTCTCTTAATCATCTTACTGCTTTCCTTTTCACCTGTTCCTATCTGAATTCTTGCTGGCACATCTTTGATGCAAAGGAGATATCCTGTTTCACAGATTTCTTTCTACTGCGGTATTGTTTGTTGTTTGTTTGTTTGTTTCTTTCTTTCTTTCTTTCCTTCTTTCTTCCTGAATCTTAATTGTCAATTACCTTTCCTTACATGTCCATAGAGCACGCTCACCTTTTTCGTAATCATGCTGTACTGGGACCTATGGCTATTCTGCAGTGACTTGTGACAGCAGCTTTGTGTTACCTAAGCTAATCCTGTCCTCCGACTGTCTACCTTGTCCTGCATTAGTGCTCATCTGGCCTCATATTGATCTGGTTTGGTAAATTAATACGGGTCACAGGTCGTTCTTTACCATGTGTAGGGTTGATTTTTGGCCATTTTAGCTTTATAGACTGATCTACTCGGAGTTAGATCACTGTCAGTAGAAACCCAGGGAAGTTGTTAGCTAAGTCCAGGATAAAAAGGAAATGGAACTTGTCTCTGGCATCTGCGACCCACCAGAAGACCCAAGTTCATGAGTCAGCTTGTATACAGATGGTTTCTCCAGCTTCATAGTCTCTAGCTGATGTATCATGGTTTAAGAAACAATTACGGATCTGCAGTAGATCACCTTGTATTCTGCACTATTAAATTAAATTATTTTCATCCTCCTTAAATCAACCTGTCATTGCAGGATAATATTCCAAACTATTTTGAATTTTGACAATGCTTGTCCCCCATTCAGTGGAGTGGGATGAATGAAATAATTTGCAGAGGTCTTGGACAACTCTGCATCTCTGTGAATCTGTGTTCTGGTCTTTGCTGTTCAGAAATTCTATTCACACCTTCCTGGTTTCTGAGTCAAATTTGGCAATAAAAATGTTAAGCAAGGTTGGTCACAAAACTGATCTTTGAAGTCTCAGATAAATCTATGCAGTTCCTTTGTTTCAAAAATTATTTATATTGTCAAAGGAGGATATTAGATGAATCTTCTTTGCACCTGTTCCATTTTAATCTTTTCTACTTATTTCTGTTTTAATTATATTCATCTATGAATATTTTTCCTGTTGAAATTGGATGGACTGATAGCTCCGCTGCTCAAATTATTTTTGCCTGCTTCTTGACTTTTAAGAATATATTAGCTATTTTTTAGACATGAACTGCCACCCAATTAAACAAGTCAATTAAAAATCTGTGCTTGTCAGACTTGAAGTTTCACAAGTCATTTCATTCAGAATTGTTGAACAGTGATTATCTTGTCCCTGCAGATGAGTGTATTGAGCTCTTAGGTTTTCTTCTGTGTTAGCAGCAATAATTTCTATTTCCAGACATTTGCTTCTTAGATAGAAGCTGCTTTTTTCTTTTCTTTTCTCTTTTCTTTTCTTTTCTCTTTTCTTTTCTTTTCTCTTTTCTTTTCTCTTCTCTTTTCTCTTTTCTTTTCTCTTTTCTCTTCTTTTCTTTTCTCTTTTCTCTTCTTTTCTTTTCTCTTCTTTTCTTTTCTCTTTTCTCTTCTTTTCTTTTCTCTTTTCTCTCTTTTCTTTTCTCTTTTCTCTTCT